CCCTGCCTCTCTGGCCCGGGCCTATGCGGCCCCCCAGAGACCATGGGATCCAGGATCAAGTGAGTGCCCCCCGGAGCTCTCCAGCCCCCCTTGCAGGCCCTCAGGAAGGCGGGCGCGCTCTGAAGAGCGAGAAGGGGACTTCCCCGCCCTCCTTCCAGCTCCCTGTGAGGCCGCGCGGGCCAGACCCCGGCCGAGCCTGCAGGTCTCGGGGAAGGGCGAGAAGGAGAGGGAGGAAGAAGGGGGAGGAGTGCCTGACATCCCCCAGGCCAGCCCGCGGGCCGCGGGGAGGGGGCGGCCGGGCAGGGGGCCCCGGGGCCGGGAGCTCCTCCGCCCCCCTGCCCTGAGGAGAGGAGGAGGACAGTGTCGTTTACCGCCCTCAACCCAAGCCCGATCTGTTGTCTGTTCCTCCTGTCTTCAGTTCTCCGTGTGGTAGCTCCTGGGGCCAGGCTGTGAGGGCCGTGTGAGCGTTATCCGAGCAGGCCGTGAGGGGGGCTGGGACTGCTGGGATGGGAGACTCGTCACAGCCAGCACTGGTGACATCTGTTTTGTGGGTGTGGTGGGGTCGAGAGAGCTCAAAGCCTCCTTGCCTAGATTGGAGTGTGCTAAATAAAAGATGGATAGTCTCGCTGTGATATCTTGAAAGTGCATTAGCAAGGAGATTGGGGCAAAGGAGAAGGCAGTTGTGCCAGTCGTGAATGTTTTGGGCCTGCAGCTCCATGCCCTCACTGTTTCTTAATTTTCCTGCAACTGCGGGTTGATTTATTGGTAAAGCCCTGTTGGTAAGTTTGGTGTTGCCACATTTAAGATCTCAGTTCATTTATATGCTGTTCCAGGCAAATTTACTCCTTCTGAGGCAGATGTCGTAAAGTTACCAAGCAGAGTGTGCTGATGTTTTTGTGCATTAAAAGTGTAATAGAGTGGAGAGATCCAGTTAGATTGTATTTTATTCAGCAGTTTTAGCAGGTGCTGTTGAGCAGTTGCTTTTCCTTGTTGAACACAGTGTTCTTCGAGATTAAATAGGGCTTTAACTTTTCACCTCTTGCTTAACTTGAATATGAGACTGGAGGAGACATAGTTTGTAGTATCCGTAGTGTGATGATGCATCTTGAAGTTCCCAAGCCCCTAGGCTGGATAGACATAAATGTGTGTCTATCCAGCCAGATATTTTAGGAAAAGGTGTAATTAGTGCTTGTAAAGATAGCACTGAAATGGTTGGTTGGTTCCAGAGAGAAACCTTCCTTCTTTGGGAGATACTGTGGGGTAATTGTTGCACTGTTTTGGCCTATGAGTTCTCATCTGTTGCTACAAAAAATCAAAGCCTGATAAACTAGTTAAACTCTTAGCTTACATTCAAATACATGTGGAATTCTAAAATCGTTACTATTGTGACAAGAGAGCAGGTTACATTTGTAACTCGCAACCTTAGGTCTTGCAGTGGTCACCCTTGCTTGGGTCACTTCAAGATTGTGATCTGAAGTGACTTATCTTAAATCTGTTAACAGACTGATGCTTACCTGAAATGTAGTTTCTTTTATGTGTTTAGCATCTTTAGATTTTTGATGGCTAATTTGACTTTTAATGATTTTGCATACACTTTGCTGAATGTGAATGTACTCACTCAGATGAGATGCTTCAGCTGGAAACTTCACTGGTATCAGTGAGGAGATGTGGCAGTTACAAGTATTTATTACAGCCAATGGACTCTAGGACTTATTCTGTGCAAAGTCTTTGGGTATGAACACGTCTTTCAAGCTTGCAGACAAAGGCCGTGTCTTCCTCTGTCACCAGGAAAGCACAGGTGATAGCCCCATTTAAGCATTACTTTTCATTCCTCGTGGAAAGCATTTTGTCCTTTGTGTGATTAAGCAACTTTGCCTTGAGCAACAATTCATAAGTTGCTTTTTTCCACTTTAGAATTCTGTGCACAAGGGAAGTAAGGACAACATTTCAAAACAATCCTGCAATATGTGAAGGAAGAGAGAGCCTACCTGAGTAAGAGGCTTTTCTGATCTGCTCTTCTAACCTGAGTGTTTAATCCAGCACAGATTTTCAAGTTGATAAGAAGCTCCCTTATTGGGGCATGTGGGAGCATGAATGAGAGAACTACTGTGTAATTTGGCGCAGGGAGGCAATGCCTCCTTCAGTGGTGTCACCAGCATGTGTTGGAGCTGTTGCAAACATCCAGTAGTCATATCTCTTGCTTCTTGCTGTAGATTGATAATCATGAGATATTATACTTCTTGGCACACGATCAGTTGCACACACTGTGATAAACTCGGTGTGAAACCTGGACGTATGTGTCAGCTGTATTTTTTATGGCTGTGTAGTAATGAGTCATTTGAGTGAAAGATTGCTTAGAGAAAATTATCAGTAGCTGCATCAGACTGAAGTGAAAGCATCAAGAAGTTGCCAACAGTCCTGTAAGCTTTTGGCGTGCAACAGCTGCAGGTGAAGAAAGGTAAACTGAGTATTGGGTGAAGCTGTTGGGTTGAGCTTTGTGCTGGAGCTCGTCACGCGGTATGTGCAGGGCACTTTGTGCCTGACAGGTACTGTAAGAAGGGAAACTAGCATTTCTCACAAAAGCATTCTTTCCTTATAGAGTTCCTTTGTAAATTTCTATTTACAGAAAGTTGCATTTCCTTCTGAAATTACCCAGTTATCAAATAAATGCGATGCTATGTACGTTTGTGCATATGTTTCCCATATATTTTTTTAGTTGCATCTCTGTGTTCACAGGGTAGCTGGCTGTGGGTCTTCAAGTGACTGCTGGGAGGAAAGAAACTTTTGTGTGTGTGTCGAAGGGTGTTATGCTGTGGATGATCTCAGTGGGTTGAGGTTTCTGTACAATGCACAGGTGGCATTAGATGTCTGCAGGGTAGTTTAATAGTCATAAAAATGGACTACAAAATATATACATTATGATGCATGTTTATGCTATGTTTGCAAACTATGAAATCTCATAGTCACTTGTTTCCTGAGTTCCACTGAAAAGTTATAAAATATTCAGATTCCAACAATGACTTCATTCGCATACTGAGGTGTTAGCTTGTTGAATGCAGCCTTTAATACTAAGTTTCTGGCTTGGCAAAGCTACTTTAAATTCACTGTTCACAGAAATAAGTGGACGTTTGTCATGGAATATTAAAATACAAAATGTGATGTCTTTTTGTCTGAAAGTTTCGACATATAGTATGTGCTTTTGCCAGCTGTGTTACACAGCGTTTTCACTGAAGCATTTGAACACAGACCCTAACATAATACTAAAAAGGTGTTTGTTATTTTATTTTAGCTGTAAAAATATTATAAAATTTATAACCTTTTAATTAAGGAAACAGGGTGCTAAAAATAAAGGCACAAACAAGGAGGGTAAGATAAGGCTGCACAGCAATATATACAAAAGGAAAAATACATTTCTGGTATTCTGTGGGTATCATTTCATCCTGTGCCATGACCCTAGGAATGTAGCTAAGAATCTCAGTAGTTGAAGCAGAGTATATGCAGTAACTCTAAGCAGTACAGAGAGAATTATGCAAGTTTGTTTTATACTGCAAAATAATAGTTGATTTTTTTATTTTAGGTTTCTCATAACTTACGAATTTAGCTCTCTGAAAAATGGCTATTTAAGGCAAATCAGTTGGCAACTGGTGGCAAATTAAATTAACATTAATTGACTTGCGAACCATTGTTGCTCCTGAGAGGTGCTCTGTAAAACTGCAGAGTGTGATCCTGTGCTACTGAAACCGACGGCAGCTTTTCTGTCGGTTTAAATAGGTGTGGGGTTTGGCTTAGAGCCACTTGAGTTACGCTAAGTGGGCCTGTGGCTTGGTTAAAAATGTTTTGTTTAATCCTTTTTGGTGTTATAGTAGGATTAAAAAATAGAAATGCTCTGAAGTGTAGGCTAAACTCCTTGACATGTTTATGTGTTTGGTTTGTGATGCTGGCTTGGATGAGTTTCATTTTTAGAATTATTATTCAGGTAGAAATTCTGGCATATATATGGGTTTTGTAATTATTTTCATCCTTAGCTGTAAGGGAGCTAACAAAATTCATAGGTTAATTAATATTAGTTAGCTTACATTAACACTTAGGAGACAATTTATGACTATACCAACAGCCATATGTTTAGAGCAGTAATTACACAATTTTGATGCTTGATTTTTAACCAGAAAATTGAGGAATAAAGTGTTACATGTTCAGACTCTCAAAATCTTTATTTCAGTAACTAAATATTGTAAGTCTGATGTGTGATTCTCTTTAATCTCATGGGAAAAATTGGAAAAGCTAACATTGCTAAAGTCAGGAATTGAACTCAAAATATGCTTTCTTATCCTATCACCTGCTACCTTTACATGCTTCTTATGAAATATAATTCCACAGCTTCAGTTATGAAGTTACATTAGTAAGAACTGAAATGTATGCTCAAAGTTTTTGGCTATGTTTGTTGTTTTTTTTTTTTTAAGTCCTACTAACTTTTTGCTTTTATTACTGGTATATTTACAACTCTGGAGCTGAATAAGTCTCTTTCCTCAAGCTTAATTTACATTTTGTAGCTGAATTTCATATAATTTCTGGCTTTTTCATCTATTTCCTTATTTTACTGCATCTGGCAGCTTTCTGCATTTGAGGCTGGAGTCTCATGAGGGGAAACCTTGTGCATTTGTAGTATTCTTCAGTATGGCCTCTTCTTGACAAAGAGAGAGAAATATTTTGACAGGAATTAAAGAAGGGAACTGTCTTCATCCTAAATACAGTCTCTAAAGTTTTCCAGTAATGTATGCAGAAAATGACTTTGCATCCTCCTGACTGCAGCTTCTTTTTTATTCCTTTTTCCTGAGCAAATAATTGCCATGAAGTTGAATTCAAGGGTCACAGTAACGCAGTGTGAATCTGGGTTGTTTGTTCCGTGTTGGATAATGTGACTGTTTTCAGTTTAGTGAAATGTATTCAGGATTATATTTGATTGTCTGAAAAAAACCTCTCTTTAGCACGTAGGTGATCTATTTTCTTGTTTGAAAGTAAAGGTGAAATTACAGGGAAGTGGTACATGCAATGAAAATCACTATGGCCAAGAACTGCAGTAACTCTTGTTTCTCTATCTGAGCAGATTCTGAAAATTTATATAAAAGGCATGGTTTTCTTTTTCAGGCAAAGTTCTGAATTATAGGCCTGGGATGTTTGATATCTAGAGATGCAGACTAGGCACACTGACTTACAGGTTCTGTGTGCCTGGTTTGATTCTTTTTTCTCTGTAGAAGTTTGTTAAATGCCCTGATCACACTGACTCATCTGAGCTTCAGCCTGATCTTGTTGCTTGCTAGTAAGTTAGAGAGATCTGATGTGAAGTTCTGACAGACTATAAAACAAGAAATCTGTTTATCAAGTCATCATTGTAACATGTGCATTCCTAGAACCCTTTTTGACTGAGTAACTGAAAGCACACTTGAAAAAAAATTCTCAATGTGCTAAATACTATTTTATTTTCTTTTCAGACAAAATCCAGAAACCACCTTTGAAGTGTATGCAGAAGTATCCTATTCAGGAATCAGTTGCGTTGGGAAAGGTACTGCTTTGCACTGTAATTCTACCTATTTTTTGGCTAAAACTGTTCTTAAGAACCACATATTGTAAGAGAAGGAAGTGTATTTAATATTATGCTTTTTTAAAAGACATCTTAATAATTGGTTCTGCAGAATCTTTTACAGGTAGGACTAGTAATGAGAAATTCTTGCCTCTATCCCTAGTTGTGGACAATTTCATTATTTCTCTGACTATTTTGACTTCTTTTGTCTTCTAAAATAGAAAGGACTCTTACTTCATTAGGTTGAAAAAGTAAATTAATTTTCAGATTTGTATTTGCTGCTTATATAAGGAATGGGTAGTTTTTAAGCCATCAATACTCTAAAACTTCTTGTGGCATTTATTTTTACTTCCTCTTTCTTACTTGTCTATGGAAGAATTTTTATCTGTTCCCAGATTTTTTCCTTGGGTCAAATGATTTTATCCAGAAACATGATTTAGTTAGCTATTTTTACCAAACATTTTTATGAAGTCATAATTAAACAAGTATCTTTCTATAATATGATTTCTGACAAGTATTCCTGTGTTTGTGCTAGAGAAATCCCAGAACTGTTGACGCCACCATGTATTTGGGAATTATTGATTACACTTTTTTCTAAACCAGAGGAACTTGATCAAAAAGGAAAAGCAAAGGTTGAAAATCATCAACCCAGATTTTAGTTAGTTTTGTGAAATCAGTTTCTAGAATGTTAGGAAAAGGAGGGATGTAAAAATTAAATATTAATAATCAATTAACATATAATTAAGTAATATTCCTTTTATGAAATGATCAGGAGTGTATCGTATATACGTTACAATGAACCAATAAAAGGATTTTTGTATTCTATTTAATGGGAGGCCACTTTTCTCCTCTTATATCTGTATTTGTTTGTTACAATCAGCCAAAGTCAAATAGCTGCAACTCTTTACTGCCTGAGCCTCCATAGGAGTTGTAACTGGAATACAATTTTGGCCTACTGCTCTGTGCCATCACCACTGTTTGATGTAACTGCAGGAGCCCTTTTAATAACTAGTCTTTGTTTCTGCACATCTGACCTGGATTCTAGTGCCAGAAAATCTGAACAAATTTGACCATAAACATTACATTGTACAGTACTAGTGTCTGGGTATAATCTTCTCTTTGAAGTTTGTTTGCATCCCCCTGGAGGGATTAATTCCCTGCTGTGGGAAGGTGGGTTAAAAAGCACGGAAACTACTTTACAGGTTTTTAATTGGAGAATTTAGTATACATTTTGTTCTATAAACCAACTGATTCTGTGGGAGTTTCCTTAGTTGTGTTTGTAGGTTTCTTGTATGCACTTGTAGGTGAAAAATCTTCAGATATTGTTTTTAGTAAGTAGAAAAAATAGTAGTAGTTGTTTTTACAACTCATATTCTGAAGTTACATGTTCTTTCTGAATAATGTAAAAAATATTTTTACCAACCAATTTGTTTTTTATATTTAAGAGGTACTTTTAGTCTTAGAAGTCTTAGATTTGTGTCCCCCAAAATATTCTGTCCTGTCCAAATAAAATTTGATGATTGCCTCTCCACATCTATGCTGTATCCCAAGTAAATTACCCTTCTAGAAATACAGACCTAGAGACCTCCATCTAGTCTCTTCTACTTCTTGACTAGCTGTTCTGTGCCAGAAGACCCAAGAGTATATATAAACTGCTTTTGTTTCTCCCCCAGTCAGGGAATGTATGTTAAATGGCAAGCGGTAACTGTTATGAAAAGCAAGATGTAGAAGAGGTGTGTGAGGAGCAAATTACCAGGCATGTTTAAAAACTATTTATTCCCCCTATTAGCTAAATTAGCTAAAAGACAACTGTTTTCTGAAGTTTGTGGCTAGTATCATAGTCCTATTGAGCACTTACAATGCTCTCAATTCTTTTGTCAGTCTTCTGACATGGTCTTGAGGAGAATTAATTGCTCCAAAGTTATAACAGTCCTAGTGTGGGAGATTGTCTGGCTTGTGGGATGCTAAAACTTGCCTTTATTTAGTTTTATTCAAAAGTTTGTGTAGTGATGGGTGTTTTCCATTTGATTATTAACTGCAATTAAAAACTTTAATATATTTCATGGTTCACTTGCATCTTCCTGAAATGGGAGACACTGATTTGTGTTATTAACTGCTGACAAACAGTTGTGCATTCAAGTAGCTTTATTGCTCATGGAATTGCTACCAATCTTGCATTAAATGTGTATTTGGTTAATAATTTTGAAACAAATGAAAGCAACCTTATCCATTGACTGTCATATAGAAGCTCCCTCTTAGTCACCAGGACAATTGACTTGCAACCTGACATGATCTCACATCTGGCCTTCTTGGAGAGGAGCTTGGACTGTAGATATCCCAAGGTCCCTTCCAGCCTGAATTACCCTATGGTCCTAAGGCTTGATTCCTAGACATGTAAGCTTCAGGAACATCTGGAGGATGTTTTGTACTCCTAATAAGGTATGAAGAGAAAACTTAATTAAAACCAAAGAAGTTGAAAAAGCAAAACATTATTTTATTCCAATCTGGGTGGAACTCTGCCAAACCACAATGAAATGTGTGAACTGAGGAAGGAAATGATCGCTGGATCAGCTCAGCCATGGTGTCTCTGTCCCAAACTTTTGTCTCAAAACTGCTTTTATCTTAACTTTGTTTTTTTAAAAATTTTATTTGGCCTGCCTGGAATTCAGAGCGTTTCAATTTCATCAAATAGCCCAGTTCTCTTGTCCATACCTGCTTCTGATAAAATGCTGATTCCTTCTCACCAATAGTCTAGGGCAGCAACAGCAGAATAGTAGAAATGGAGTCTGCATCTTTACAGTGACAGTACTTGGAAGTTATCTAGGGAGGAACCTATGTTGTGTGTGTCAAGTTTAAGAATGTCAAGTGGAGGAACTTTCCAACTCCCTCATACTTTGTGGAAGACACAGAAAACCAAGGTAGACCAAACAAGAAGTTTTTAGAATTATTATTGTTATTATTATTTTAGAGGTTTCACTGATTGGAGTTAACCTTGCACCAAGGCCGATGTGTGGCCCATAAAACAGCAATTAATGTTGGGTATTTTAAACTGAAGATACAGGTAAAGTCTTAACTTATTTTAATCAGTTTTTCTTTCCCATTCTTAAGTTTCATGTAAAGGAAGGGACAATGTATTTTATGAGATTGTGAAGTCCTTCTACTGGAGGATTTGTCATGCCATCTCATAACAGTAAAACTTCACGGAAATTGAAGTAGTACTTTACAAAGGAGTTGTATTGTTCCTTTTACAAATTATACTGCTTAAGCCGGCGTAAGCACTTCTAGAGATTCGGTCTGTGCTGTTGACGTTTCGTGCTTGTAGGTGATGTGTGTTAGAGCTGTGTGTCCTTTAAACCTCAACTGAGAGATTGTTTTGGCTTTTTGAGATGCAGAAGCAGAAAAAAACTAGTAGCAATTTTAGTTTAAATACCTATATAAAGAAAGTGAAAGCATGCTAGCTACTTAAGAAATCTTTCTTTTGACTTTCAAAGCATTTAATTATCTTAAAACTGCTGCAGGTCATTCGTCAGAAATATGACGTGACAAATGTAAGGATCTTGCTGGACCTCAGCCAAAGATCCTCTCTTGTTTGATGGGGCTGTGAGAATTGTAGTCTGACTGTCAAACTCTTCATGTAGAAAAAGAGAATTTGTTAGTCTAAAGTAACCAATCAAAATAGTCTCTAAAGTATGAACATTTGAAAGTAAATGCTCACAAGAGTAAGACACCCCCCTACACCCCTGTCTGGGAGAACGTAGCATGCTTTTGTGTGGGGTTTTTGTGTTCTCGCCAAAGCAGACATGATAAAAGTATGTCAAGTCTGTAGCTTTACCATGTAGTGTGCCAAAAGGCCTTTCTCTCCAAGGACCTCAGCTTTCATCTTTTTGTGAGTGTAGCATAAATTCTTGCTGTGTGTTCAACGAAAAGGCTTAAAATGGTTTAGTATAGCTAAAGGATTTCTTTCTTTTTCTTTTCTTCTTTTTTTTTTTTTTTAAGCAAAAAACCCACAACATAGTAAGAAGCCTGAATGCAATAGTATGGACAGAGTGTAAGTGCGTTAGAGTTAACAAACGTTCACTGGATTAGTAAAGGAAATGTAGTTTATACTACTTCTTTTATGACAGAATTTAAAAGGCCTTGCTGTAAGACTCCCATGTGCTTCTTTCTTTTCTCTAAAACATACCACTAAGTTGAAAAGGGAGATGAATCTTAGAAGGAAACTATTAACTCTGAGGGAGTTTATCATTGTTTGAGAGAAAGGGTGAAATTTGCATTTGAATTGGCTCTGAGAGTAGCACATACTACTAATCTTGTTCCTACTAGAAGCTTGTGAGTAGTTTAAGTACTTCCTTCTTTACTTTTCATGTTCTAGCCTTGTGCTGTAATAGCTCTTAGGTAGAGAGAACCAGCAGGTTTCTGTCTCTGTAAAATAGACTGACTGCTGCTTCTTATCATGATCTTTTTGTCATATCTTGTAATAATAAGGCACTACCTCCCATATAGATGATGTGTGTTCTTGAACATAAGCAAAGTTACTGTAGTATAATTAAGGGCAGGTCGTTCAAAAGTTTATAAACCTTACCCATGCAACTCCCAGAGTGACCTATATTTTTTTAGGGTGAAAACATTTTGTTGAAGTCTGCGTGTTCTGTATTGAGAAACAGATAACATACTGAAGGTCTAGAAGTAACAAGGAAGTGCAAAATTCGGGTCCCTTTCTATTAAATAAAGGCTTTCTGTTGAACACGTGCTGAAATTCAGGTAACACATATGGTAGCATTATGTTGCCACACCTAACTTCCTAAAGCAGGACTGGAAAAGTAACCAAATCCAAGTAGCTAGGTACTATTTGGTACTATCCTAAGCTGCTGCTTGTTTTTTCTGTTTTCATTTGATTGCTTCTCTTCTAGGTACAAGCAAGGTGGAAGATTTTCAGAAAGAACTACTTAGGGCTGCAGTGTCTAGATCAGTAGCATTGTTTG